TTTGAGTTCCGTTTCCCGCAATTTGCGGTCGCGGACTGTGCCTTTAAGCAAGGGGTTCTATATAGAGCCTTTCCTATGATTTCTTTCTGATTTTTCTTCACTAAGGGGTTACTTGCTACCTTGTTATAAGTATTTGAGCCGCATAACTCATCAAATTTGAATGCGGGCTCAGCCTTTAAATCCGATGTTATGATCGTTAAGTGAAACACTCAAAACGCCGAGAACTTTCCGGGCAACCTAATAGTATGTTCTACCTACCATTGTTACCAATGAATAGCGGTAGCTGCCTTCACACATGATACACAGTCTTCAGTTTTTTTTTTGCGTAACAAATAAATACCGTGTCCATAAGGCCACCATACTATCCACATTTTTCGAATATTGTGAAGTTCCACGATATTATTTTAGGGTGCCAAAACTGCCTTCTGCTCCTGGGAATTAGCTTGGAAGTAGATTGGAATTTCGGACACCGAAAAAAAGTTGCCATAAGTGAAAAATGGCATACAGATGTACCTTTCCCAAGCCCGAAAGTTTCTAGACGCATAGTGCTATAGTGTAGTTCATTGCGGACGGTTGGGCGTGTTCGTGCGGCTGCGTTTGGCGCGGTGCCAAACTCGTTCTCCACGAGTTGTTCAAGCGAGCAAATGACAATACTGTATCATACCTTTCGTATTACTTGTTTTCTACTGCTTTTTGTCGCATGCCCGTTTCAACAAGAAGGAGAGTACAAAATACTCTCCTACCTTCAATACTCTCTAGCCCCTCTCTAGCCCCGTCGCTGCAAGCGCTGGGAAACGCTGGTGAAGCTAGATCGATAGCTATGCTTCCCGTGCCCTCGCTACGCCAGCGTGCGCTAGCGTGCCGCTGGCGTGCGCTAGCGGCACGCTAGCGTACGCTGGTGACGCTGGGAACGCTAGATCGATATCTATCCTTTCCCCGACACTGCCACTGGCGCTGGAAGCGCTACGCTGCTGCAAAGTATAAACGCGGCCTTATGTGTGTGTACCTAACGCATTCATTGGAAGAAACATGTGGCTCCATATTAGCGATAAATGGCACCATAGCTACAAGTGAGTTCCATATTCGTGATTCGGGCATTGGTCTGACCTATAAAGGTCAACTTTCAACTACGGTCTTGCTCAATGGTATGTGGAACTTGAAATAATTGAATAGCACCCCAATGGAGTATCTCCATTTGAAATGCGTCCATAAATGGCAGTTACGGGCTTGTATTCATGCTCGGACATTTATGAACGGAAGGAAAGCAAAAGCTGAGAAATGCAAAACTTGCAGACCCAAGGGAGTCAAACCATCAACCCATCCTCACTGTCCGACTTACAATCCTCCACGTCATCCACTAGGCCATCCGATCGTTGCTACTGTATGCCGCTCCGATCGTTGAAGAAACCATTTGGAGGAGTCCTTCACTCCTGATCACGTGCCACAAGTGAGACCCCCATATAACGGTGTTTTTCTCCCCGATTCCAACAGTACGACCGTCCATACAGCAACTGGTAGGAGTTTCAAGCTGTTTACAGACCACACAGGCTCAAAAACAATCGAGTTTCCATAGATTTCTTTTCGCTGCCTTTTTTGGCATTCCAGGGGGGTTTCAGCGAAAACAGAGCGCAGTTTTGTAGTTCATGTGCAATGCGCTAGAAAATGCGAAAAACCATTCCGAAAAAGCGGGACACGCTCTGAACGACCTCTATTGTAAGTGCGGTAAATGGCGACATATGGCATAATGTTGGATGACGAGCACCCGAATCCGAGTTTCTCTGGGTAATCACTGGGTAGTTGACAGAGGTGTAAAATTACCTTCAACAACCGCGCGGACATTCGCGAGAAAAGTGTCCTGCTGTAAGCCACATCTCGCCACAGCCTGCTGCATTATTGAGACCCACACCTGAAACAAAACTATACTAGACCTAGAGATTTAGACGACAGATCATTATTCAACTTTAGCTGCCTAATTTCTGCCTAATACCTTGTCTTTTTCGTCGACATCCTCTTCGTTTATTGGTTGAAGTACTTTTGCCTGCTGGACACTGTTAGGAAGACCAGCGACCCTGAATGGAGCGACAGACTCCGGTGCTGGATGAATTTCTTTTGAAGACTTAGCAGTTTCAACTAGTACTGGAAGTGGTGGTCTGTAAAAAAAAGCTTCGATTAGATATTATCCATGTGGGACAACATATAAATGCACCAAGCAGCAATAATTGCTGTTGACACAACAAGAACA